AGTGATGCTATCTAACCATCTCATCCTCTGCCGTCCTCTTCTCCTTTTGCCTTCAAGACATAAACGTACTTGACCATTTATGTGACCAATCAAAGGCCCCAATATTTTTGTATTTTAAACACATGTGTAACAAATATAGTAGAGAGCATTCTTACACTAAAATGTGTTAGGCACTTTCTCCCCTTCTTGTTTGCTTGTTTTCACGTTCACTCAGTCAAGGGTAATAGATTTTGTTGGAAGTAAAATAGCTGCATGGTTTAAAAGCTTTTGATGGATTGTCACAGGATTCCTGATATTACAGGAAAGGTCAATACTTCAAATTTTACCACTTTAGACTGACTCTAATTTTTTGTCTTTTTATTAAAGATAATCCTAATACATGGACTTGTTTAAAATCTAGAAGAAATTTGAAAGGAGACATATAAGATGGGTTGAGTGTTACTTTTATGCTAGAGTAACCTCACTTTGAAAAGTCTTCCCCATCCTTTATAGGAAGAAAGTTAGAAACGTTGATGAAATGTTGGCATTGTTACATTTGCTTCTTTGCTTGCATTCAACCTGTGCAAAAATTTGCTTTATTTCATACAGATCAGGAATGAGAAATTAATATTTTTGCAAATTTATATACCATTGAATAATACTTCTGTATAGTAATACTTGGACTTTTAGGGGCCTTTGATTCCACTTCACTTATGACTACCATTTTGATCCCTTGTAGTACCTAACCTGCTTAGTTATTTGGCATCAGGACTTTTCACTTTTGCTTGGCACACTTGCTTCAATGCGTTTCTTAGATGATGGTCCTTCATACGCATTCTCAGCCACATTTTCATTTGTCAGGACTCAAACCAAAAATGTTAATCATACATAAGGAAGACTGCTTTAACCACAGCCTTGTATCCATGGTTTATGTAGCTGCAGTCCAGCTCATTGCCTACATCTGGACAAATCGCAAGCTTACAATTAAGCAGCCACTTTTCTTTTGGGAAAATGAGATGGTGAAAGAGTTAAAGGAATTTCTCTTCCTACAGTGTCTCTGCTTCTCCTCCTTGGTTTTTCATTCCCAGGTTCGTTTTCAAAACAAAGGGTGTAGGGGAAGGTTTAGCTTTCCCCTGTCCCATGGACTGCCTGATACCTCACAAGTTTACTAAAGAATTTTTCTCCCTTTGTAGTCAACAAACATCAAAAAAGAAGTGCTGGTTGACCAGTGTCACAAAGGTTGCTAGGCTACTGTGAGAAAGGAGACAGCTATCAAAATGTGGGTGGCTGTGCTGTGCTGTGCTGGGTTTGTTGGGTAGCATTCACTGAGTAAATCTCTTGTCCATGGTCAGTGTTAAGCCTACCCTTAGCATGCCCCCAAACTGTATATCTAACACAATTCTGAGACTAGAAGCTGATCAGATGAGGATTGAGATTAAAGCATGGTTATTAATCTTTAATTACTGGTTAAATGCCATTATTTTCCAGCTGGGCTGATTCCATCCCGTCTTTCAGATGACGTTGAGTCCTCTTGGATTCAAGCAATACATTAAAGACTTCTATCACATGTCCCCTCTCTTGACTCCTTATATTCTCTTGGTTTCACTCAGGCTAGGAGAGTTATTAAAGAAAGGATTTTAGACACTGAAGCCCAGAATGAAAGAGGAGAGGACTCATTCCAGATTCTGTCCAAACTCAACTTAACCTAGAAACCAGCCACATCAACTCACTCATCTCTTCAGCCCAACAAAGGTTCTTCTTCAGAGCCAGATATAATAGTCTA